GGGGGGGTAACGACTGACCTCCGTGGAGCCGGCGAATGTAATTGTGAGCCAATGCGAGCTCGTGCTAGAGCTCAGCAATTTGTGTCTTGGGTGTAGGCGGAATGGGGGGAAAAGGGGGGGGGGGCAGGAGGGGATGCCAAGGGTGTCATGGAGATGAGTGTCGAGGAGGTGGCGGGACAAAATGTCATGGCTCCTCTGGAGGGAAGTATGGGTGTAGGAACCTGGGAGGAAGATGTTGCTGTAGAGGAAGGGTGGGCTTGAGGAGGGGACATGCCACCCGTGGTGGAGACAAGTGTGTAAATGACGCCAGCCGAGGTAGAAGAGGAAGATGGTATAGATGCTGATAATGGGGCTGGGATGGTGGGATGCGAGATCCCAAACTAGGGAGGGGAGGGATGTGATCCGCTAGCAGCATGTGTTTGGGAAGGGGAAGGAGGGGGAGGAGATGATGGGAGAGGACTGGAACGGGACTCCAGATGTGCCATGCGGTCAGACAAAATAGCAAACTGATTGTCGCATCGGTATTGCAGACGTTGTACAAGTGTGGCAATCACGTCCGTTGTGGAAGTGGCTGCAGGACCGGAGTCTACGGCGGTACTGATCACGGCCGAATTGGGTGCCATCCCGCGAGCAAGAAGTGCAAGACCGTCACTGGTGGAGCGAGACGGGCTCCCGAACTCTGGAGTCTGCATGGAGTCGGAGGGTGAAAAAGATGAAGATGATGTGGGGGGAGCACGGTGACGAGGGGGACGATCGGTAGCCACAGTCGGTGCGTCGAAGCAAGCAAGTCGATTGGCGGCACGAGCGTCTCGAACGCAATTTTGGTGTGCGTGCTGTTGGGTGTCACGGGGAGCCAGGGTGACGAGCAAAGAGGAGGGGTGTCAAAGGAGGGCAAGCAAGATGAAGTGTAATGAAATTCCGGATTTAAATATAAAAAAATTAGAGTCAAGTTGGGAGAGAAGGTATAAAATTTCCAATTTGGGCAGGGATGAGAAGAAATTCGCAAGGGACATCATGGGGTATAGAGGAAAGCATGCATAAGACAGTCACAAAGTCAAAATAAAATTCCGAGATTATTTAGCCATAAATTCAGAATTTAGAACAAATTTAAAGGAAAATTCAAAGAATTTCGAAATTTCGAGGGAATTTTTGGGAACTTAGGTAGGTGATAGAAAAGATAAAGATGAATTCAGAAAACAAATTTAAGATGAAATGGAAAATTTCTTGACGTATTTTCGGAATTAAAGTAATTAAGCCAATTTGAAACGAAAATAGGAAACTAATTCCTTAATTAAGAATTTACGATGAAATGATTTAAGAAACTAATGACAACGAAATGAAGTAAGTTGAGATAAATTTCGAAATTATTTAGGTGAAATCAAGAATTTTTAATAACGAGTTGCACGATTGAGATGAATTTCAAAGAAATTTTGAAAGAATTTCAAGGGGATTATAAAAGAATGTGCAGGGTTTCAAAAATTTACAGGGGAAATAAAACAGGGATTGATTTGAATTCAGAAGACTTGAATTTGCTGGATGCTAAAAATTATTTGACGAATTTATGAAAAAGAAACGGAATTTGTAAACCAAATAAACGAAGTTGCCGGAATTAGTTTTGTTCACGACATTGGTAGAAAAGATGATGAAGAATAATTATATCGAATTAGATGGAAATTCCAGTAGGATGGGCAGCATTGCCAGACGAGCACAATGAGAGAAATTACGTGTTACGCGCATTAGGAATTTTAGATGATGCGACCAATTAGGTGGAATAGTAGAGGAGAGAAGGGGGAATGGAGGAGAGATAGGAGATGAAGAGAAAGATGAGTACTTTGAGGGAGATCGACCAGATGAAGGGAGGTGATTAGTAAGGGGGAGAGAGATTGACAATACCCCACTCCCGGTCGGCCGGGAGCGTGAAATGTCCTTCGTCGAGGAAGGTCTTGATCGAACCCCTAAAGGGTCTTCTCGATCGTTCCCCCCGTGGAACGACGACGTCACCAGAGAAAGCATGCAGATGATGGTGATGATTATCTTTGTTGATGCTGATGAAGGAAAGGAGATCAATCTCAACTGCCGTGGAGAGAGATGGGCCGGAGAAATCTCGTCAATCCATTGTCGCTTGAGTGGAATGCCCGAATCAAGGACCATGACGAGCTCGTGGCGGAGTGTTGAACTTGCTGGCGGATGAACAATCCAACACTTGGTGAATTCTGCTCCACAGTGATAGGGAGAGCCGATGTCGAAGGATCAAAAAGCAATGTGGCTACGCTTGGTGGCGGCAAGCCAGTTGTCCTTGTGGTAACTTTTTTGACACCTCTCCAGAAACGCTAAAGGATCGATAGGCCATGCTCTCACAGTTTGTATTCGTACTGGAAATCAAAATCAAATGAGCTTTTAACCTTTTGCTCCACACGAGATTTCTGTTATCGTGGAGCCCATCTTAGGACACCTGCGTTATCTTCTAACAGATGTGCCTCTCCCGCCAAGTTCCCGTTGTGCACGTGCGCACGAGTAGGGGGAGGAGCGTGGGGGACGGGGAGAGAGATCGCGGGGGGGGGAAGGGGGTACCGATCAGCGAGGGAAGGGAGGCGGACAAAGCGATCGAGCGCACGTGGGGCTCTGCGCTCGGGGAGGTGAGGTCGGTGATTGGGGAGGGATCGAGATAAAGCGGGGTGAGGGGGGAAAAGCGGGCCGAAGAAATGGGGCTAGGCGTGGGGGGGGGGGGGGGGGGGGGGGGGAAGGGGGGGGGGGGGGGGGGGGGGGGGGGGGGAGGGGGGGGGGGGGGGGGGGGGGGGGGGGGGGGGGGGGGGGTTGGAACTGGGGGAGGTCGGAATCGGGGTCGGGGGTTGTTCACGGTGGTGTAGTGGTATCGGGAGCGGGAGCGGGAGTGGGGAAGGGGGGGAAGTCAGGGGAAGTTCGGGGAGAGTCGGAGTTGGGAAAGGGGAAGCGCGGTCGGGGAGGAGGGGGGGCAAGTCGTGATCAGATTGCGCGCGCACGTTCACGCTATCGGGGAGGGGAAACGGAGTGAGCAGCTGTCGGGGCGGGCAGGGGATGACAGTGGGACGGGTGGAAAATGGGATCGGGTGCGCGGGGGAGGGGGGTTGCGGAAGCGGGAGTCGGGATGGGGACGATCGTTGTGGGGGAAGGACAAAATCGGGATCGTGGAGCAGCGGGGGAAAGTCGAGGTCGGAGTTGGGAGTGGAATCGGGAGTGGGGGAAAGGTCGGAGTCTGTCTCTTATACACATCTAGATGTGTATAAGAGACAGAGGCAGGACACCCTGCAGCCTCTCCAGCCAAGGA